AGAGAGAGAGACACAGGGAGGGGGAATAGAGACAGAGAGAGAGACACAGGGAGGGGGAATAGAGACAGAAAGGGACACAGGGAGAGGGAATAGAGACAGAAAGAAAGACAGAACCGGGGAAACAGGCAGAGAAACAGGGAGAGAGAAGTGAATTTAGAGACACAGGAAGAGAGAATAAGACAAGATTTAGAGGCAGAGAAGACAAACAGAGGAGACGGACAGAGACACACATACAAAAGAGTCACAGAAAAAGATGGGGAGATGGAGTAACAGAGAGAGGGAGAGGAGAGACAGACAGACAGACACACACACACACACACAGATAGAAAGAAAGAAAGACACACCAGGAGAGATGCTGTGAGGAATAACCAGTGAATCAGAAAGGCATTTACAGTGGAAGTAGAAAAAGAGTGATTTTACCTTTTGTGAGTGTCTGACAGATGGTAGTCCTAGGAAAGGTCCTGACAATGAATCTCTGGCTCAGTGCTGTTGGAAATTGTCCCCTGTCGATTTAGCAAGGACTTGGTATCCTGTTACCTCCTGTTCACAGAGGCTCAGGCTGGAAACTCCTCTGACATGAGTGACCTCCGCAGCATCCCTCTATCTCTCTCACACTCCCTCTCTGCCTCTCTCTCCCTGTCTCTCTCACACTCCCTTGCTCCCTGTCGGGGTGGAGGGTGGGGGGGTGAACAATGACGTGACTTCAATGATTTTAATTTCCCACAATCCACACACGGACTGACATCACCCAGCTCGCCAACATCATATTGTCCTCACACTGTCCCTGTCCCAGCAAACGACCACTTTTAAACGGATTGGAGCCTCAAAGGAGAATGACCAGCTGGTTTTCTATAGGAGAAACCAGTCTTCACATCACAGCAAAGAGCTGGATTTGAAGGGGATAATTGGCTTACAGAGACACAGAAGACTCAGTGAGATTGTGGGACAGACAGTACCCTGACATTCCCTGGATACAGGCCGGTTCACCTAGCTCCCCCTTCATAGGGGCATAATTCCTATCCACTCGATCCAATTCTTTAATCACCTTCATCCCCTCCATTAGGTCACCCTTTCAGCTCTCACACTCCAGGGAATACAAATCCTGATCTATTTTCATCCTCGTTTTCAGATCCATCCAGCTCACTCACCCCTCATTCACCCCCCTGTCTCTGTAACACCCTCCAGCACCCTACACCCCCTCCCTATCTCTGTCACCCCCTCCAGCCCCTACACCCCCTCCCTATCTCTGTCACCCCCTCCCTATCTCTGTAACCCCCCGCCCCCACATCCCTCCCTATCTCTGTAAACCCCTCTGGCCTGTACACCCCCTCCCTATCTCTGTCACCTCCTACAGAACCTGTGAAATAAATATTTTCAGATGCTCCCTGTTGGATTGTGGGAAAAGCAGCAGCTCAATTGTCACACAGCAAGATCCCACACACAGCAATGTGGGAATGACCTGGTTCATCTGTTTTTAGTGATATTGGTCGAGGGATCAATATTGGCCTCAGGACCTGGGGAGAACTCCCCCCCACACTTCTTCCGAGAATGGCCGTGGGACAGTGACAGATTGGAATCAAGTGGTAGTGAGTTACAGCTCAAGCAGTTTGAAAGTCAGGGAGGTGATGGCCTAACGGTATTTTCACTGGACCTGTTAATCCAGAGACCCAGGATTCAAATCCTGCCCCGGCAGATGGTTGAATAAAACATCTGGAATTAAGAGTCTAATGATGGCCATGAATCCATTGTTGACAAAAACACATTGGGTTCACTGATGTCCTGTAGGGAAGGAAACTGCTATTCTTACCTGGTCTGGGCCTACGTGTGACTCCAGACCCACAACAATGTGGTTGACTCTTAACTGCTCCTCTGGGCAATAAACGCTGCCTGGTCAGCGATGTCCACATCCCATTAATGAATTTTGTTAAAAGTGGATAAATTGAAGCAACTTCGAAATGGATAAAAGGTGGAGGTGAAATTCCAAAAAGAATAAAAACACAGAAAATGGATTTGAATTGCAGAGGGGAAAAGAAAGAAAGGGAGAGAGAGAATGAAGTCTAAAACACTGCGTTTGTAGAGAAAAACGGATGTTGGTGCAGGGGTCAGTGGGGAAATCAGAGTTGTGGTCTGAAATCCAATTACTGCAGATGGTGGAATCTGTGCTGAAAACAACAAAGGCTGGAGATCACAGGAGGTCAGACAGCTTCCATGGAGAGAGGGAGCAAGCTAACGTTTCGAGTCTAGATGACTCTTTATCAAAACTGATGTAAAGTGTGGGGCGTTGGGGGGCAGCATTTATGCAGTAGCTTGGTGGGATGAAGTGCTGGGGGAGATAGTTCAGATTGAGGGATCAGAATGTGAGGTTGGCAGAACAATGGTGTGTCTAACGGTCAGACTGGGAT